CATGGACAAGAAGAAAGATGCCTTGAGGGCATCTCAGGAAACAGCAAGACTCCATCCACTGCAGACTCAAGGATAAAAAGTTGCCAAACTTTCATTTGAGAAGAGAGTTCCTAGGACCTCTGCTTGAAAGAGCCTCCTAGGGAATTAGTTTCCCAGGATTCGTTTCACCATGCTCAGCCATTGAGGCACTCAGAGATCACTACAGTCATGGTGCATGGGGGCCTGGACACTGCCTCCACTGATAGCAGAGCTTGATGCTGTCCATGTGATGCTGGTTTTATTGGCAGGCAAAACGCAAGAGTTGTTGGGTAAAAGAGGCATGATTTCAAAGGAAGACCTGGAAGGCTAGGCTAGGAGCTCCTGAGAGCACAATGCATGAAGCTGTGGAAATGAAACCTAAATTGCTGTGGAGACCCCAGGAAGTCAGAGATACCAGGAATGTCGAATGTCTGCCACAAGCTGTGAGTGGAACCAGCCAAGTGGGCTGTAACTGACAAAACCATAGTGGTTGGGTGCTGAAGCCATTTGGAACTCACATTTTACCAACAAGTCAAGACTTAATGCCTGGCCTGTGTGTTTCAGTCTTGTTTTGCAAGTGTTGCACACTGAAGGTTTATTTAAAGACAGTAAGATATATTATTAAGTTTCATCTGCTTGTAATGAAAGTTAATAACATTAATAGTTATTATGGTTTATATCCAGATGTCTCCCTAGTTCCTAATGTGCTCATAGGTGGGGCTTTTGAGAGTGACTAAATCATGGGTATGTGATTCTGGATTAAGCCACTGATTAGTATAACATAATTCTGGGTGGTACCAACCAATAGGCTTGCAGTATGGATGGAATAAAAAGGGAAAGAAGAAAGCTACCTTCTTCCTGTCTTCCACGCCATGAACTGTTTCTTCTCTGCCATGCTCATCTGCCATGCTGCCCTGCCTTGGAGCCAGTGGACTATGGACAGAAACCTCTGCAAACTATGAACTAAAGTAAACCTTTCCTCCTTTAACTTATGGGTTTTGGGTATTTTATCCTAGCAACAAGAAAGTGATTATGACAATAGTATATAAGGAGTTGGGTGAGAAAGACATATTGAAAGTTAGGAAGGATAAAATAAGGATAGAACTTAAAGTATAATGTCTAAGAAAAGGAGGCACTCAATAACAGTTATCATCACCAATATCACCACCACCATCATCATTAATATGGTAAAAGCTTTGGTTATAATAAAAAAGAGAAGACTGTAAGCCTAAAGGGAAAAAAGTTATAGAACTTAGGAACTATTTAAATATGGAACAAGAGTGAAGATATTTCAAGTATAGTGATGGTAATTTACCAAGAGAAATAGAAAAGTCTAGAAGAGAGGCTCATTTTAAGAATAATAATTTTAAACATAATAAGCTCAGTTTTAGACATGTGGAGTTTGATCACACAGAAGAAATGTACAGCAGACAGCCGATCACAGAGATCTGGAGCAAAAAGAGAGATATGGTAGCAATGAAGAGGGAAGCTATGGAAGCTTGAGTGAAACAACCTGAATATTCTTAATAAAGTAAGTGGCAAAGGTTAAAAATGAGTGATAAAGTGGTAGAATTGGGAGCTACTCAAACATAGAAAAGTTTTGGAACAATCTAAATGGAAAGCAGATATTAAATAAAGAATAAAAAAAGGGGAAAGGAAAGAAGGGAAAGGAAAAAATATGAGAAAAAGAAAAAATGGGAACAAATTCTTTGTAAATAGGGAGGAGTGGAGGTGTTGAAGGGAGGGCAGGGGAATGGGGAAAAAATAAGAACCAAGATATACCATGTAAAGGTACAAATTCCCAATGATGAATGACATCGTATTGTATAACTAAAATGTACCAGTAAACTTAATGAAAAAAAAGGTATTAGCAGGCAGCACGCAGAATCCACTGAAAGTTAAAATGAATTTAGACTAATTATTAACATAAAGTTTTGTGACTGTCCCCAGAAGTAGGTTAACAGTTGGGAAGAAAAGGCACACAGAAGATGTAGCCTCAGGTTAAAGACTACAATGGCAAACGAAAATAGAAATGTGAAGGAATAAGAGAGTATGAAGTTCTGGGGAGAACATAAGGGATGGCAGTGATTAGGTCCAGACTACAAACCTTTAGTGCAAAGAGGAGAAAACTGTCCAAGAGAATAAGAACCAAAGAACTGGATGTCTGTCACATGGAGACCAAATTTATTGAGCGTGTTCTGTGGGCTAGGTCCTAAGGCAGATGCTGAGTATAAAAGGCAAGTCACTGCTCTTAAAAAATGAATAATTTAATGCAAGGGTTGGCAGACCTTCTGTATAAGGGCAGATAGTAAATAGTTTAGGCTTTGCAGGCCATAAGGTCTCTACTGTAACTACTTAACTCTGGCATAGTGCAAAACCAGCTGTAAAAAAATACATAAATGAATGAGCATGACTAGTTTCCAGTAAAGTATACTTTATTAATTCCTAGAATTTCCCTGTGCCACAAGATATTCTTTTCATTATCAATTTATTTACTTATCATTTATCTCCCCTACAGCTTATTATAAAAATTTCCAAGCACACATAAGAGGTGAAAAAAATCAGTGAATATCCATATACAAACCACCTACATTCTACCACTGATATTTTACTATTCTTACTCAAATATGTATCAAACCATTTATCAAGTCTTCCTTCCACTTAATAATCCATCTCGTTTTTGTATGCATTTCAAACTAAGTTGCAGACATTAGTATACTTTTCCCCAAATATTTCAACATGCATAATTAATCAATGTTCAATATTTTTTGCTCATTTTTGTTCCTCGAGGTAAAATTTACACAAAACAAAATGCACATATCTAAGTGTGCCATTCCATGAAGTCTAGTGAATACATACTATGTACAACCTAAATCATTACTAAGACACTGAACATACCCATCATCCACAGCAAATTCCCTCATATGACCTCTAGTAAATCTCTACCCTTAACCTCCCAGAGGCAATTACTCTCCTGAATTTCTTCTACCACAGATTCATTTTCCCCATTCTAGAACTTCATATTAATGGAAAAATATAGTATATACTTTTTATGTAAAGTTTCTTTTATTCAATATAATGTTGTGATATTCAGGTACATTATGCTTTCATGAGTAATTTCTCTTTATTTCTGAGTAGTAGTCCATTGTGTGAGGAAATAGCTTATTAATCTCCAAATGGTAAATAGCTGGGCTATCTCCAGTTTGGGTTTCATATGAATAAAGCTGCTATGAGAGTTCTTATACAAGTCTTTGTGGACACTTGTTTTCTTTTATCCTGCGTAAATATCTAGGAATGGAATTTGTGGATCACAGGAGATATGTATTTTTTCATAAAAACTGTCAACTTTTTCCAGAGTGGTTGTGCCATTTTACACTCCCACCAACAAGTATAAGAATTCAGCTCACTCCATAATCCCACCATTATTTGACTTGGCCATTCTGTTGGTGTACATGGTAGTAATTTTTATATATTATTTTGATTTTTATATTTCAACCAGTTAACATGTTATTAAAACTTCCTAGCTGGCCAGCCCTATAAAAATAGATGGTGGGCTGGATTTAGTCCATGGCTATAGTTTGCTAATCCTTAATCTAGTGGGTGAGTCTGAAAAGAGAAGTTATATATATATACTATATATATATACTATATATATATATAGTATATATATATACACATA